GTCCACTAGCCGGCCCTGGACGACGAGCTTAAAATCCGTTCACGAGCTGGAACGAAAATAATTGCATCGTGATTCTTCCGCCTTTTTCCCTTCAACCCTCCTTCAGCCATCCTTCTCGCTCTCCTCTATTTCGACTTTGCCTCTTCCCTCTTCCCCTTCCCCCTTCCTCGGTCGCGCCACGACCGAGAGGGCATAAATCCTTCGGGATCGTCGCCGGGAATAAGATAAAAATCTCGCCGTGGCGCGATTTCAGTGGCGGAGAAGAGGAAAGGGGAGGAAAAAAAAAAAAGAAAAGAAAAAGAAAGGCAAATTCCCGAATAAACACATCCGCGCCTCTTTATGGCGCCACTTTGCGGATCCACCACCTCCCCCGAGTCGGGCCGCCTGTGTACCGTGCGCATTATTAACTCAACCACCGGAAAATGTCAACGAGGCCGGCCTCCTTATCTCCTCCTCGCTTTTCTTTATTTTACCGACAAACGCTGCTGGTTTCCCTAGCCGGCGGCGTTGCTTTCTTCCCTTCCCTGACACGCCACTTTTATCTGGCTGCCTTCTGTCCGCAATGTTGTGTTGTATATTCAATGGCGGATTTGTAATTGGATCGTAATTGAATTTTCTTGGAAAAGAATTTGTCAGCTTATATATCATATATATATATATATACATAGCTATTTTACAAAATTGACGAAATTTATTGAGAAACAGTGAGCTCGAAGATTAAACGTCTTCGTTGAATTTTATTTGAGATTCGATAAGATTGGATAAGGGGCATCGAATATCTTCTATATCGTTTCCGTTTCCACGGAAGATCGGTTTTCCAAACGTTTTAATCGGCGTTTTTCTCTTTTCCTCTGGCCCCAATTTCACGATTCTCACTCTCCCCTCCCCGGCTGGGAACGGAGAAAGAGAGAGTCCTCCTCCAGAAAGGAGTTATCGCCGAAGGAAGCTACAGGCATCGGCGTGCTCCTGTGAAAAGGGGCTGGAGACGGCCGGCGGGGTTAAAACGACCCCCGCATTCGAGGCTGAAGTCTGAAAGATAAGGTACCCCTCTTCTCTCTCACGGCCTCCTAGATTATGGAATGGCACTTTAATTACACTAATGGGAGAACCAAATGTTAATTACAATTCGAAGTCTAAAAGAGAGGTGATTCGCGGCCGGTGGAGGAGCGAGGAGGACGGAGAGGGAGAGGGGGAGGGAGGGGGAGGGGGGTGAGATAGAGCCAGGATGGACGGAGGAAAGGGACCAGATGAGATTTGCCTGCGTAAGAAGGGTTCCCCGTGATTAGTATTATTTAATTAAAAATGCCCGGTCTCATTATGGTCACCTCTCATAAGGACCAGGCTTAAATGGGAAGCTGCTTATAAATTGGATTATCGAGAAGTAGGAAGGGATGAGGGAGAATAAAATATCACGATATAATATATATATATATTCGAGATTGAAATTTACAATAATTTAAATCGATATCGACACGAATAGCTAAGAAGAGAATAATCATAAAGCGTCTCAAAAGATTACACGTAATTAATATTTGACGTGAAAAGCGATTAACTTTCAAGAATACACAAGTTGACAAGAAGAGAGAAAAAGAGAAAAAAAAGAAAGAAAAAAGAAGGGAAAGGAAACAATGAAAAGAGAAATATTCGACGATAGAAGATAGCATCGCAGAGTTGTCGATAGCAGATCGATTCGTACGGATATCGAGAGACATTTTCGAAATTTCCACTCCCCATGCACTGTCTGAGCAACGAGAGGAGTCGTAAGCGGGACGACCACGCGGCCGGCTACGCGGAGGACGGCCACGACGACGGGCTATCGACTTTGGAGGGGAAGGGAGGGGGAGCCGGGTTTCAATTTAAAGTTGGGCGAGCGTGTCGGGATTTCAATGTACAAAATGCGTATGCTAAACTTTTCGCACCCCTGTGGTAGCCGCGCCTCCCCCTCCGTCCGTCTTCGAGTTCCCCAAACATCCCTTGGTAAAGCTGGAAAAACGGCCAACGCGGACCGACCAACGTCCGCGCTCGATGTTTCGCCCGGGAGAAATCAGCAAGTCTGATGCATCGTCAAGTAGAAAGGGGTGCGCAAGTAGAACGTTCTCGCCGCTCTACGGCCCGCTCGCGGGACGAATGTCCCGTTGAAAAACTCGACTTTGAAGTCGAGTGCCCCCAAAGGACAAATTACTTTTTTTTTTTTCAGAGAGGCCTTAGCGGCGTCCACGGCCGAGGAATCCCCCTTCCCCTAATGATGACGGCGCGCGATTGATCGAAGGTGATGCATATCAATGGAATAGGCTCGTCGAAACGAGGGAGGCCGTGTGTCGAGTGTGGGAAGGAAGTTTCTAATGGCTCGCGAGAACTTTTCTCTCGGGCGCACGCATCGCCGGGTTCGAGGTGTATTTGCATCTAGCTCCTCTGGGCGCAAGCTTTGTCTCGTTTCGCCGTTTATATGAGCAGGGGAGAAGGAGGAGGGGAGGGGGGATCGGGCTTTGTCGAGGTTGTTAAATAGATGCACGGGGAAAATGCACGGTGCGGCTCGTATGTATGGCTCGAAGTTTAAGGATTGGATGTAGGAAATGGTCGTTTGAATGGAGGGAAGTTGGGAAATCGGAACTCGAGCAACTGGCTCTACCCACTTCTCTTTCTTTTTTTAATAATTTAAATAGTCTGTTAGAGATTTATTTCCACAATCGTATCACTTTTGATTCGTATTTTATTTTTCAAAAGCGCATCGATATAATGTCGAATTCGATATAAGTTAATTTCGAAAATTAAATTACTCCTCTTTCTCTATTAATTAATAACGATATTTTTCAATTCTTTACTTCCAATTCTTTCCTTCGAATCTTATCTCTGAAAAATTTCTTTCCATTCTTCTTCTATCTCTCTTCTAAACCAATCGTCGCAAGAATGGACAAGAAAAATTCAGACATCCTCCTCGATTCGATTCCGACGCGAATTTAACTTGAACAATGCGTCCATCGGATCGAACATGTGTGTACGTATGTGTGTGTGTACGATTGCCGTGAAACGAAGTCGACGAGAATGAGATAAGGGATGGATAAGAGAAAGAGATAGAGAAAAAAAAGTAAAAGGGAAAAAAAGCAGCAGAACGAAAAAGATGGTCGGATCGGGCATCGTGGGCATGGGTGAGAAGTTTCGCCCGAGGAGTTGGATTACCGCGTGGCTTCGGTCGGATTTGAAAATTCGTGGGGGTCTCGACGGGTGGCGGGCGAGGTTGGCGCGTGATTGATTTTGCATACGACACGGATTGGACAGGTTTGAGAAATTGGACTGGCTTTCTGGCTGGTTTGCCCTCTCTGCCCTTCTCGGCGAATCACCCTCTCGAAATGGCCCTTCCCCTCCTTGCCGAACCTTCTTTTCCTATATCGCGAGTGTCTATATGCCTGGACGGTTATATCGACGTGGCGCGCGTATATACACGTCGATGTAACGTATATGCTTAGAGAGTATCCTGAAGTGTCTGCCCGCGAGAGACGAAGAAGGGTTCCCGCTCTCGTATCTCTGGCGGGAGACGTCGAAGGGGATTGGCCTCGAACGAGCGATTTGTGCGATCTTCGAGGACGTATTTATGAGCGTTCCAGGCCCGCTTCTTCCACTTTCATATCGCATTTTCAGACGCGAGCATGACGCAAGTTACGGCGTGCAAAATGGAAACGTGACGCCTAACGCGAGACCGTTTATTGGAAAAATGGATTTTCGTTGACGATTTTGGTTAAGTAAAGTCGCGAGAAAACTATGTAGAAATTATTTCATCCGTTCATTATAATGCTATATCGAATTGTCGTGGTTAACGTCATCTATAAATTAGTTAGAGAAACTAATTAATTTGTAATTGAATTCTATCTTTACATCTTACATTTATGAATAATCTAATTTGTTTGCAAAATTATTTCAAGATTCATCACTTTTAGGCTAGATCGAAAACTTATTCTAATATTGAATGATTTATTAAGATTATTGCTCATTAATCTACCATGTTTCTTATATAATTCGAATTATCGTAATTATCTCTATAATCTCAACAAAAGCACGTTTAGATTTAAAAAAATTTATGAATTCGAATTCTACGTTTAAGTCTTCAATCTAAAAATAACTTTTAACTTGCTTCGAAATTATTTCAAGAAACTTAAGAAGAAGATTATTAGAAAAATTATTTAATCTATCCACGTGAACGAAACGATTGTTGCGGTAACGCGGGGACAAAAGGAGCCGCGTAAGAAGGCATTCAGGATAACTGATCTAGCGTTATCCGCCGACGTTGGAGTGGATAACAGGCCGAACGATTTATTCTAAACCTTTATCCGGCGGCCCCTTGAAATTTATGAAAGAAGACGCCCGTTTAACCGACTCGTTCAGTCATCCCTCACGATGGTGGTGAAGCCACCCTTCCCTTTGCCCGTCCTTCTTCCCCACCGTGTCTCCTTGTTCTTCCTCGAGATCTCGCCCGCCTTTCCTCTTGTTCCTCTTCACCTCCACCCTCGTGCTCGCATGTCAGCCCTTTATTTTATACCAAGACGAGTCGGTCCGAGTCGGTCCTAATATTAAAGGGGATGGTTCACCCTTAGCGCGTGATCGGGATACAGAAATTCGCCGATCGGACGGTTCAGAACTTCCTTATTGGAGGGCGGAACGAAGAGTCGAGTGGCGGGGTTCCTGGCTGGAAGGAAACGTTTCAGAGCCTTGCAATCTTTTCTTTCACGTATCGTCATATACGTGGATGGCGTTGAATCGTTGCTTGATCAATGGCTACGGATAAAATCGAAAAGCAATTGGAAATTGAATTTGTTAAATGGTTTGTTAGTAAATTTAAATATTTCTTTCACTTTATGATCGATGGATCAGAGGAGATGAATAAAATAAAGATTATTGAATAAAGCGAGTTTAAAAAGCTAGAAAATAAAAAAAAATGTCTTTGCAGTGATATAAAAGAAAATCCGTAAAAATTTAGGAGAATAAAATTTTCCTTCTCTGTTTTCCAGTTGTATCTGAGCAAGACTCGACAGAGTGGCCTCACGGACGATTTGCATCTTTCACGAACGGTCAGTCCAACTGTGCGCCAGCAAGGTAAGTCTTTCTCTCTTTCAATATTTTTTCCCTTCTTTCTGTCGTCGTTTCTCGACGCTTTGCCCTCTCGAATTTCGACAGACGCCGCGGACTCGTTTTCTTGCCGTTTTCTCTCTTTCTGTCTCTCTCTCTCGAAACTTTCCACACCCACGCACACACAGAACGGTATCGTTTAACGTCCTAACGACGAGATACTCGCCTCGTGCGTATATATCGAAACTGGCGAAGTCACCCGTGCCGAAGCACAAGCGACATTTCGAAACTTTGGCCAATTTCGCGTGTACTCGAATAGAATAAATATGCGGTCCACGTGTGGCCCGCCTATCTATGCTCAATATGTGCGAGTCGCTTATAAATTATGCTTAATCCATATCGGGTCATTGTTTAACCAATAATATCGATGAATTCTGTCGAAATTTCTCTCGTCGAATTTTATCTCGGTGAAAAGTGAACGCGAGTCTAAGATTTGTATTGAAAACTTTTCATCCGAAATGAAATATCCGTTTGATGTATTCCTTTTGATATCGTGGTCATTGTTGTCATTTGAGACTTGTTGTTTTTTTATTCCAGAAATTATATTTTAATATTTCTTTCACATGAAACGTCGTGTCCAAAAATATAACTAAATATAGGATAAAAGTAACGTCACGTATCTTCGATCAAAGTTATTAAATAATAATTTCAAAATAACAAGTCTGAGTATTTCTACTGTTAAAAAAATCGTTATTTAGATAACATTTCTTAGGAAATTATGAGGAAATTAATACCTATTAACACGATGATGATACCTGATTAATATAATAATGAAAAATTAGCGAGTGCTCGAGCTGGAGAGGGGGAGAAATTTCCGAAGGCGAATATCGACCAAGTACTTTCCCGATTTCCACCGAGCATAAGCAAGGATTTCCACGATGCGAATCGACGTAGACGTGGGGAGAGCTAGGAGGCCCTGGCATCATGCATAACCCCACGTCGGCCTCGCATAAATATTCTAATAACTTCGGAAACTAATATGATTGCATCCAGCAGGAATAATATCCTGTTCGAAGTGGGCATCGCGGATGTATGCGTGGAATACGAAATATACGCGGTCGTCCACACGGCGAGGACGGCGTCGCGCTCCTCCTCACCGTAACCGTAGATCACCGCGAGGGTAGAAGCGATCTCTCTTGATGACAGTGATTACTTTAATCGAGCTCCTCCCCTCCTCCTCCTCTTCCCTCGCCGGAAAATAGTTATGGACGACGCGACGAAAACCACCAGAGATATCGCTCGATACGATTACACACCCCTGCTCCACTCGATTCTCGTGCACTGTCGTAAGAATAACAGACAGGCGATATCCAGATAGATATTAATAAAAATCATTTTGGGTAAATGATCTCTCAATTATAATTCGGTGAATAGAAAATATTTATATAAGTATTGATAGAAGTAGTAAGGTTTTATTATTGTAAAGTGAAAATGATGAAAATTTATTCGCGAAAAATGCGCGAATATTTTACAATCTGATATAATCGAGAAATTCTCCTAGAATCCTAGAATGATTCTTATTAAAAGGATGGAATAGAAATGGAATTATCAATGGATAATCACCACAATCTATACAATACACAATCTCTACACACTCGACTCGAATATATTCGAATAATTCGACAAGGAACGAGTCTGTGCCTTTAAAAGTGATCGAAAGGGCTTGTGAAGGAATCGATTTCGCGCGGATTCGAGGCGCTCGGTGAAAATTCATCCAGGGAGAGATTCGAGTTCGAAAATTAATTTCAATCCGTACTTGAGCCCCCTGGCTCTCTCTCTCTTTCTCTCTCTTCCTCCTCCCACTCTCTCTCTCTCTCTCTCTCTCTCTCTTTCCCTCTTTCGCTTCTCTCCGGCTGGTCAAACAGTGGCGTGTACAACGCGCGGTCGGAAAATCGAGCAGCGCTCGAGTACTGGAAACAAAAGGCCGACGTTTCAATTAGGTCCCTTATTAGTTAGCGATAATAGGGCCAGCGGCGGTCGAACGTTAAGGCCGGGGCTTTCCAGTGCTTAAACGTTCGGTTGCGTTAGGTCCGCCGGCTTGTTTGCGTGGATCCAGCTCTTACGATATTAAGGGCTGACTAGGCGTTCGCTCGACCCACGTTGCCCCTCTCCACCCCCCGCGTTTCGATGTTTAGAGCCAAGCCACGGACTCTCCTCGACCCTGGTCCGACTTGACCAGGAGGGAAGGGACAGCGGAGGGGATCCTTGCACCTCGTCGATTGATTTTCTCGCGTTAGAATGTTGGACGGAAAAGCCCGTGATAACCGACGGGGTTGTTTCGATTGATGGAATAGAATGGAATTCGAGAGGGGAAGGTTTGTCGTGTTGATGATCAAACTTTGCGTATAATACTCAAAATTTAAGATAGGAGAAATTTAGAAACGAGCAGGATTCGATATAGAAAATATATATATATATAGGATTTGCGATGGTGAAAATTTACATCCCCTTTCTATTAAATTTTTATTTGAAAAATTTTTTAACTAAAAACAACGAAATATTCTAGATATAAGGTTAAGTTAGTTCACCTTCTTTATTACCAGAAATTCTCAAGTTTCTCGAGTCAGTTTCGCTATGCAGCGTGTATAACACGTTCAGTTTAATGCACAGTTATTATTAAAAAGTTGGACGTTAAACGATTCGAAGGCGGAAAGGAGGAAAGGGAGAGGGTTAGTCGTTCGTTTCTCGAAGGCCAGAAGGAATTTGTCGCGAAGGAACCGGTCGCAGCAGTCGCCTGCGGCTCGCCGCAACGATCCTCCGTCGTTCTAGCCATTGTACGCCACCGCACGCAACCCGGAGGATCGTTGCTTTCGTCGACACCCTTCGAAACTAACTCGAGCCGGGCCGAAACTGCGCTCGCTTCCCTTGCCGCGAAACGGTCGACGCGGTTAACAAGCGGCCACGCGATTCGCTGCAACCCCTATCGATTCGAAAGTGAAAAGCCGATTCCGTTTCGAGAATTAAATCGTGAGATAAATACGATAACCAGCTCGTCGATAAAATAATTTCAGATGGAAATTTTAAACGATGATTTCGTATGAGATCGAAAAATGTGGAAGTAAAATCAGGATTAAAATCATTTTATCCTGATCGAGAAAGTATAGATATCGAAGAAACTTAAAAATAATTCTTCGTCAGAGGAAACAAAATAGTAATTATAGTATCAACTTTTTTGAAGATCACTGTCTTTAGTATAGATTCCAGTAAACAATAATTTCAAAATTTCAAAATACGGAGAAGATATACGAAGAGCAGCGAGTGGAAACAATCTAAACTCTGTTCCAAAACCACGCGGAAAGTTATCGCCGCTTCTTTCTCGCCCGCAGAAAAGCGGAATTGGTTTTAGTGTAAATGCGGGGTGGCGGTCTGGCCGGGTGTCGGAGGACGTCGTGGCGGATAGGGTGGCGAGGCGGAGGAGTGGTAGCGACATCTTGTATTGTCAGATCCCAACGCGACAAATTCATAATTGCGTTAATGCGGGTACGGCGAGGGTTCTTGCCGCAACCACCGCAAGGCGCGCTATGGCGTCTTGCGGCTGTAAGAGAGATAGGGAGCGGGCCGTGGGGAAGGGGAAAGGGGTGCGGAAGGGAAAATGGACGAGGGAGGAGGGAAAGAGAGGTCCCTCCTGGCACGGGCTCGTTAATCTTCCAAGGATTACGCCAGAAGGAAGTATCGCCATTGTGCAAGGTGCTCCTCTTCCAGCCGATAATTATTAATTAAACTGGCCTAACGGGCCACTTCGCGATTTATCGATTTATCGGCCCTTTCCCTACTCTGAGACCTTCTCTCGGAAAGAATCCGTCTTTCGCCAGGGTGGATATTGGAATATTGCGTGAAAGTTATGCGCGTATAGAAGAAATTTGGTCCAATGCTTCTTCGACAGTTAGCGTTGATTAATCTACTTTTTGCGAAGGGAAACATTGTGAATGATTTGTGTAGATTTTTGTCTTCTCTGCTTATTCTGCTTAACCTCTTAAAAGGCAAAGCTCGACTTTCCATATAATATTGAACGTTTATCTACTAAAAAACAATCGTGCTGCTAAATACACACATCACGTGTATCCTATTCGAAACGAATTGCAGTCGAACGAGAGCGTGCGACGAGTCGTGTGATCGTCAAGTTTTAATTAATCGCGGGCGATTAAACGATCATGAAATCGAACAGGAAGGGTCATCAAATCCGCGCGAGCTGGCAGAGAGGAAAAGGGAAAAGGGAGGAGAAAGGGGATTGCAACGGAACGGGCCGGGAGGGGAGGGGGGTGAAAAGGATAGAATTGCAAAAGCGGAGAGAGCGGCACGGAACGAACGAGCCGAAATAAAACAGTGATATCGAGGCATTTCACGCACGAGCGGGAACGTTTAGCAGATTCAACGTGCGTGCCGGTACTCGGCACACTGCTACCCACGGTGAAACGATCCTCCTCTCTTTCCCATTATTGCCCTCTCTCGTTCCGCCTGCACACTCGCTCGCTCTTTCATCCCGCTCTATTTTTCTCCCTTGCTCACCCGCCCGCCCGCCTCTTCCCATCTCGCTCCGGTATTCCTCTATCACCTCTACCTACCCTCGTCCACAGCTCGCTGAAAAATACTGCTCTCGCTGACACCTGTAGCTTCCACGTTCTACATATGTGCGTTACGTACGCCGTCCGTGCACACGCCCATCGAGGAAACGAGGGGCAAGGAAAAAAAAAAAAAAAAAAGGAGGAAGAATTATATTATTGAAGAAAATTTCCATAAGACGGAGGTCCCCGTCGATCTCGTTATGCTTGCCGCGTTTTTATCAACGATCAAGAGATCGTTGAATAATGCGAGAGATTGGATTTAAAAGGAGGAACTAAAGACCTGTTTTCCTCGCTCCTCTTTGATTCTTTCAAGAATTCTTTATTTGTTTATAGATGGATCGCTTATTATCTTCTGTGATTATTGAATTTTGATTGAACGAAATATAAATATTGAAAGTTATTCGA